TTTAAAGCAGGACAAAACAGTACAAAACATAATTATTTAAAATATACTTTAAAGGTAAATGTTTAATTTGACTGTGTGTTATGAAATTATATTATCTTCAAGTACAGTTAAAAAAAAAAAAAATAGGCTACTTTTAAGATTTGAGGTATATTACACGTGCACATTTAATACAATTAAGCACACTTCTTTTTAACGAGGGTTGTTTTGGAATTATATAAGGAATAATATAAGTAATACACCTGTTCAGAAAGATACTTACCCGTGAGTTCAAACTCCAGTCTGCAGGTAGTGCAGATCTTTCCATGGCTTTAATGCTCTTAAGTGGCAGACGACCCTTTAGTATAAAACGATACAACTCATTTAGTGCTGTCATGCTGTATAAACATGTGAATAGTATTATATTTTGAATTAAAATTTAGTTTAATTTCATTCAAATTAAGGTCAAATAATAAGGATTCTGGCCAGAAGGTCTTTCATGAAGATGTCTTAAAATGCACTTGATAAATGAACATTACCAACTCTCAGTGTCAGCACTTTGTCAGTGACTTTTTAACAAAGCTAACTTTTCAATCAAATAGGGTTCACCATTTGAGGCTGCCAAATTAATTTTAATGGTTCACAGTAGCAGACATACTGCTGACAATGCAGTGTTCTGCAGAGCTCATTGTTTAGTCACCAAAATCAGCTTACCTCGTATTTCACATGTACATGATGACAGTCGAGAGACAGAATGAGGAGGTCACATGGGAAGAGCACAAGCAAATGCTCCTGAGGTTCCTGCAAACGCCGGTCCTGTTGTTTGAAAGAGGTCCGTTACCATCATGAATTACATGAACACAACTCTCTATTTATAGTCTAGGACACCGGCCCTCCAGGACCGAGTTTGGACAGCCCTGGTCTATACTCTTACCTGTGTGTATATGTTGCTGATGTGCACCAGTGAAATGTATCTTGGATGGCCCATGTGCTGAATGGGCTTCCCCTCCCATTGCAAGATGGGAGACCGCAGTAAGTACCTTTTAAGCTCCTCCCTTTTCCAGTTTTCATTACATGGCACCTGGAACAGTGAAAATAATATGTATAAGCAATAATAAAGATCCTTCTTTGGGCAAAAATAACTAATGCTTGTTTGTTTGTTAATTTATTTTACTTTGTCAATGTTTTATGCGTTCTATATAGGATATCTATTTCAGTTACAAGACTGAATAAGATCTACCAGGTATGAGAGCGCGCTATGGGACGGGCTCAGCTGTTGCCTTAGGGATTTGTATCTCCTGTCCTCGATATTCTCCATCCAGGTTTTTGTTTCAGCAGCAGTAGCACAAAGGAAGATCTTTGAGTCCACCATAGGGCCTAGAGTGTCATAAATCTAGGTGAACTATAATCACAAAATTCTGTGACCTCAAAATTTTCATATTTGGGAATATTTTTTTAAGGGGCTCTTACCGCTAATCTCAAACATATCTGGAGAACTATGGTCCTGCTGTGGGATCAGACGCACCTCAATGGCTGAGAGAGGAAGAATGCCCTGTGATGAAACACAGATGACAGTTTAGAGTGAAGCTCATGCCATTAAATATTTGCTAATACTTATAAGAGTCTTACCTCATAAATAAAATCATGATTAGAGCTGTCCAAAGCGAGGATTAACAAATGGAAGGAAAATAAAACCAGATATCTTTCACTCATAGCCTGCAGACAGGAATCATAATGAATACAAATTACAGTTACTCAATAAGTTGGACATATGCATTAAAAATAACAATTTGACTCCAAACATTGAGTAAAATCAAGAGGGATCTTTTTCAGCAGTTTGTGTCAGTTTGGCACATGAACGGTGTATGAAGCAATTTAGCTGAATTGTTACCTTTGTGTATCCACTGTGTAAATACACCGAAGATGAGTGGATAATGTCTCCATAGGTGTGTGGTGCCTGTCCTTCCCATTCTCTGATAGGTTGAGTGTATAGCCTATGATGGAGTTCATTTTTTGTCAAGCCCCAAAGCTCCAGCTGACAAACAGGAATACAAAAAATATCACTCTACTTTATGTTACAGTATATGAAGAGCATATAATGTTGATAAATGCACAATTGATGATTGTATTTTTTATTATTATTATCATTGTTCATTTATTCTCTAAGCTGATGAAGACATACTTGTGAATTGTTGTGTTTTGTTGTGTCCTTCACAGTCACAGAGACAGGTTCTGGGTTCTTACACAAGACACAGATGTAGATAAAGTTGATAAAACTCTTATTCAGTGCAGACATTGAGTTTAATCTACTGTAGATGTATGTGAACACAGTGGCCCCAAAAAGTTTAGATACTTTAATGCATTTAAGCCAAACCTGTCAGAATGTTACTGCATTATATAAAATATAAAACCAAGTGGCATCTGCACACCAATGGTGCTATTTTCTTTCAAATAATTGCCAGTAGGTTTGATAATTTTATGTAATTCAGAAACATTCCTAGATTTTTAAGTGTCAAAATGTGTTTTGTGTGTGTGTGTGTGTGTGTGGCCACTGTGTACATATACATATGCTTTCTTTTGTTTTCTATTTCTCTTTGTTAATGTCTTTTGTGGAAACATAGCTACGCCCTTTGCCACTTCCTGTTTACTGGCTTACCTTCTGCTTCAGGTGCCTCACAGAGGGACAGCGATGACGACCTTCATCTGTGCCATTCCTTGTGGAAATCTGGAGCCTGCTTTCAGCAAGACTCCAGATCCTAAAACAGCAGATGGCTAAACACTGTCAAATCACTTTAACAGATGAGGATTTAAGAAATGGAATGCAAATTGTTGTGCTCTGCGCTGTGTGATAGATTTAATGGGACAGAGTTTTGGTCATGGCTGTTCTATACAAGAATCATGTTTGACTGTTTTGCATGAATGCTAAGGCACTTTAAGGTTAAGCTTGCTAGAAAAAAATGTAACATGGAAAAAACATGGAACAATGATTTATCGTTATTTATTTACATTTATTTTATTATTAATTTGACATATTTGCTTCATGTGGTAAAATGTAAAAATATTAGTTAATATTACTAATATCAAGACAGGGTTATACCAGTAAAAGTAATTTTTAAGGTTCAGATCAGGTAGAAAAATCTCCTTAATGTAACAGCCTCACTTATCTATATTTTAGCGTGTGTATAGTTTTTCATTAGTAAAACCATGAAGATCATCCTAAATCTAGTCTGGGAAACCATTACATCCATTTCCATTTGGACACCACATATGACAAGTTATCACCCTATAGTCAGCCTGAAGCCATTGTTTTTATTACTTTATCATCGTACTTTAACAAACACTTTGTGTGAGGTTTGTTCCCTAAATATCACTTATTTCATCCCCAGACCCTCTGTTCCCGCTGCTTTACCCATGCTGCTTGCTGGGGAAATGCCCAGACATAAGCAGCTTACTGTGGGCGGTGAATGACAAGCAGACACCCTCCATCTGACCCTCATTGTGCCTGACTCTTTAAAATACACCCACAAAACAGGTATATTGCAAGAGCGTTGTCCACATGATGAGTGATTTAACTTTATTATTACTCTAAACAGACAAATGTTTTCACCCCTGATGCAGTATCTGCATATTAACAGCCCGTGTGTATTTCCGCAGATTGGCCGTTGTCTGATCCCCGTTTTTCTGCTAGTTTGGCCACATAAAGCTTATGAGCTCTGTTTAACTCCCACTCTAATCCCTACAGTCACCTAATGAGAGGATTGAGGCTTCCAGCTTGGAGTAAGACACCAGACTGCTCAAACACACTTGGCTCCTTTAATTAGCTATACTAGTTGCATTAGTTCTGCCTCATTTGGTGAATGAGAGGCTCTAATGAGATCTGTAGCTGCACGTCTGCTGTCCATCCACAGTAAACACCACCATTGTGAGTGGTATAAAACAACTCAAACTCAAGATGTTTCACAGTTACATCAGATACATTTCAGACGAACAGAATTGAAGCAGAGCAGTTTGATGTAAGAATTGGCAGGTAGAAATGGCTTGGCTGAAACTGAAACTGTCACATGGGTTTTCACTATAAAGACCATTACTTTTAAAATATATCCAACAAAAAAATCCAACAGACATTGACAATGCCAGTGCACAGCTGCTTCTATTTTAACATCCACATGATTATGAACAACTAACCTACTCATTTCTTTCTTTCTTGCGGTTTTCGAAATGTTATCAAACATGACCTAACACACTAAAAAGAGGAAGTTCCACTACTAAGTATATTCCGGCTGCCCAAGAGCCTGGTTTCCAACTAATCTGCATTTGCAAAGAAACAATCATACAGCATTCAAACTCTTACCTTGCATTGTTGATTTCCAGGAGTTCGATCTCATCTGGACCCACTTCATCAGTCCCTGTATGCCTCTGTGTCACACTGCAGCATCCCATAGCTTGTCTACACCTTACCTTTCTTTTCCACAAACACGTCTTTTCCAATGGCTTCTCCTCTAAACTACACACTGAGGGCCATCTGTTAACCCCCACAATCCCCACACCCCACCGGATTATAAGTAGGGTTCAAGAATGAGATGCACAGAAGCCTGAATTAAGTTTCTTGCAGTAAAAGACAAAAAAAAGACATTGGACAGAAGCCGACAAAGTTGAACAATTGAAGAGGATCAAGAGTGGTGTACGAAACTTTCAAGCACAGCAGTTACACACAAATACTGCAGTATTTCTTCCTGTTGGTATTAGTGGTGACGCAGCAGCGGCCAACACAACTTCCTCACTTCACTCAGTTTCATTTGTGAGTGAGCTTGAAAGCACTGAACGGTTTGTTTTCGACTTTGATTTTACACATGAGGGACGCAAGCAGCATCAATAAAGCAAATCCCATTTAAGATGATTACACCTCATGAAGTCAACACACAAAAATAGGCAAAAAGTAGTCACAACAAAAAAGCCACAGGTGAATTAGAGACATGTGTTTACTGGTAATGAGGACCATGTTAGCATGTATAGAGGTCTAATCTGGTGTTTGTTTTGTCGCATGTGCCACAGATGGAGGAAGAAGGAGGGTCCTGTGGCTGAAACACAACACACAAAAAACTCGGGTGCCT